GCAACATCAGTAGTCAATTAAAAAACAAGGCAAGTAATTTATAGTGGTTTTCCTTGGCTCTTGCTGAGTTGACAGATGTTATTGATACTATTCAGTTGTCGTTTATTCAAGGTGTCAATGCCAGATTTGAAGTGGCAGAACAATTAAACTCTATGAATCGTCTGTAGAGAACAACTACACACAAGAATATCTTCAAAGTTGAGAAAACACTAAGTACAATCTGAAGTGAAATCTGATAAGATGTGTTAAAACTGATGGTGGTAAAAATATGTGTGGAACAGAAAAAGGCTTAGTTGGATAACTTTACAAAGCTTATAAAAATGTGAGGTGTTCAAAGCTATGGTTATTTGTTGTGTTATTCATCAGTAGGTACTTTGCAGAAAATATTTGAATTTATCATGTGTTACTGAATCAGTATTGTCAGTGGTGGTCTTCATTTGCTCTCATGGTTTTAATTAGCATCAGCTGCGTGAATTTTTGTTGGCCATAGAAGCTGGATATCTTGACTGGCTTTAGTAGTAAAATTGTTTTACAATTTTTTGAGCTTAGGACTGATAATGAAATTTTTCTGAATGAAGCAGGATGGCCTTCAACCACTTTTGTCAAATACTGATTGGCTTTGGAAATTAGCTTTTTCTGAAGATTTAGAAATATTTTTGAATGAATCTAACATAAAATTATGAGGCAAAATAGTGCTTACATGTGAACTTTAGCTGCAGTTAAGTCATTTCAGTGACAACTGATGTTTGAATCACAAGTAACATCCAGCTGCTTTACACATTTCTTCTGTCAAAGTGAGATCTTCATTCCCATATGAATTTGCATGAATATATTTTCCACCATCAAACTACAGTTCCAGCAACAATTTTCAGACATTGATGCAAGTGCAAAGAAAGTTTCCATATCTCAAAATCCATTTAATTATGCACTTGAGGAACTTCTACCTAACTTCCAATTGGAAGTGATTATTCTGCAGTGTAGTGACATATTGAAAAGCAAATATCAAAAGAATCTAAGAGACTTCTATAGCTGCCTTCAAAGTAATGAATATACTCATTAAAATCATGTACTTGTGGGTCAATACCAGTATTTAGCAGTACCTATCTGTCAGAAAAGACATTTCAAAGATAAATACATAAAAGCTGATCAACATAATCAGTTGAATATTTGCAAGATTTTGATGATAGGAAACTAAAATTAAGTGTTACCCCAATTCCATTTTTTAATTAGCAGACTTATATTTTATAATATTATAAAATATACTTATTATATCTTGAATTTTGTCAACAGAAAGTTTATAGGAAGTTTTTCTCTCTCATTATGTAAGTATCTATATGTTTTTGTCCTTGGCCTGCAAAGACTGAAATACAATTGGGCCCTTTTCAGGAAAAGTTTGAGGACCCAGATTCTATAGCAGTGCTTCTCAGACATGAATGCACGTAATAATTGCCTGAAGATCTTATTAAAATGCAGATTCTGATTTGCTAGGTCTAGGGGTAGGACCCAAGATTTTGCATTTCTTACAAGCATCTGAGGTGATAACAGATGCTGCTGGTCAATGGACTGCATTTTGGGAGGCAGGCTCTAGTATTCAAGGTTCCATTTTTATTTAGACAAGTATCCTAGGGCCACCGGGATGGCTCAGTCAGTTAAGTGTCTGCCTTCAGCTCAGTTCATGATCCCAGGGTCCTGGGATCGAGCCCCATGTTGAGTTCCCTGCTCAGTGGGGAGCCTACTTCTCCCTCTTCCTCTGCCACTCCCCCCCCCCCCCCCGGCTTGTGCTGTCTCTCTCTCTAATAGACAAATAAAATCTTTAAAAAAAATAGACAAGTATGCTAATATTTGTTAAGCATCTGTTATTTGCCAAGAATTATACCAGGGGTTCTTGCATACATTGCTATTAAAAAGTTGTAAAAACTTGTTAGAAGGTGTTAGAGGTTGGGACTCGTAGGAGTTTTGGTTAGAAACCAATTGTTTGTTTTTCCTCTATCGTTTAGCTTCCTCTAGGACCTCATGGGGGAGGGTTGAGGTCCTAGAGGAAGCTGTATATCTAAGAAACAAAAACAGGGTTAAACAAAATACTACATTATTAGTTGGTTCAGGTCAAAGTGGGGACTTAGGTCCTCATCTTCTCTGCTAAATTTCAGTGGGCCATCCCATCAACCAGTTACCAAGCCAAAGAGTAGAAATAGTATATAGCACATAAATGTTTTATAAATATTTTCTGTCTCTTGTTTTTCATTTTTACAACCATGTCTTTTGAACTAGCAAAGTTAAAATTTTGATGAAGTTCAATTTAATTATTTTTTAAAAATTGTTTGTAAGCATTGTGGTAAAGTGTACATAATACAACATTTACCATTTTAACTATTTTTAGGTGTACAGTTCAGTGCCATTAAGTATATTCACATTATTGTACTATCATCACCACCATCCCTCTCCAGAACTTTTGTATCTTCCCCATTGAAACTCTGTACCCATTAAACACTAACTTCTCATTCCACCATGCCCCTCTGTCTCTGTCAGCCATCATCTACTTTCTGTCTCTGAATTTGACTATTAGGAATCTCATATAAGTGGAATTGTACAATTTTTGTCCTTTTGTGTTTGGCTTATTTCACACTTAGCATAATGTCTTCAAAGTTCATCTATATTGTAACCTGTGTCAAAATTTCCTTTGTTTTTAATGTTGAGTAATATTCCATTTTATGCATAGACCACATTTTGTTAATCCATTCATTCATCGATGGACACTTAGGTTGCTTCTACCTTTTGGCTGTTGTGAATAATGCTGGTATGAACATGGTGTATAAAGATCTATTCTAGTCCTTGCTTTCATTTCTGTTGGGTATATACTCAGAAGTGGACTTTCTGGATCATATGTAATTCTATGTTTAATTTTTTAAGGAACTGCCATATGGTCTTCCCCAATGGTTGCACCAGTTTACATTCCCACTAGCCATGCACAAAGGTTCAAATTTCTCCACATCCTTACGAACACTTACTATTTTTGGTTCTATTATAGTAGCCATCCTAATGGGTGTGAAGTGGTATGTCATTGTGGGTTTTGATTTGCATTTCCCTAATGATTGATATTGAACCTCTTTTCATTTAAGTATTGGCCAGTTACATATCTTTGGAGAAATGTCTGTTCATGTCCTCTGCCCATCTATTTTTTAAAGATTTTTTAAGTTTAGTTTTATTTTAGAGAGACAGCAGGTGGAGGGGCAGAGGGAGAGGGAGAGAGATAATCTCAAGCAGACTCTGTGCTGAGTGCAGAGCCAAACACGGGGCGCAGAGCCCAATATGGGGTTCAATCCTATGACCCTGAGATGATGACCTGAGCCGAAATCAAGAGTCAGATGGACACTCAACTGACTGTGCCACCCCCTCCCATTTTTTTAAAAGATTTTATTTATTTGTTTGTTTGTTTGTTTATTTGACAGAGCGAGAGAGCACAAGCAGGGGGAGCAGCAGAGGGAGGGGAGAGGGAGAAGCAGGCTTCCTGCTGAGCAGGGAGCCCAATGTGGGACTCGATCCCAGGACCCCGAGATCATGACCTGAGCCAAAGGCAGACGCTTAACTGACTGAGCCACCCAGGTCCTTCTCCCCCGCCCACGTTTTAAATTGGGTTGTTTGAGGTTTTTTTGTTGAATTGTAGGATTTATTTATATATTCTGCACGGGATCTTGCATTTTTTTCCCAGTTTGATATCTAAGAAATCATTGCCAAATCCTCCAAGATCATGATGCTTTACCCTATGTTTTCTTCTAAGAGTCCTATAGTTTTAGGTCTATACATGCAAATGCAAGATCCCTTGGATGTCAAGAAGGAATGGGATCAAAAGCAAAAATTGAAGGCTTCAGCTTTTTAAAGGTAGTTACCTCTTTGAGATGGAAGAAAGAGGAGTGGGCAGAAAATATATATTCAGTTATAGATATATGGAAGTAAACATGGCAGGATGACCATTATCCATTCAGTCCTCTGTCCAGATAACAATGAAAGGTAATGAAAGCAATTTTAAAAGATAAAATCTATAGGAATAACTGTTAAACTTTAAGATAGAGGAGTGTCAGAGTATGTGGAAGGGGTCTAGTTAGTTTAGTTTGAAAGTGTCCACATGTGATTTGGGATTGCTCCTTATTCCTTTCGAGAACCACTCATTTATGTCAGTTCTAAGGTTTTTTATCAGTAGAGAGTTGGCAGACATGAAAAAAAGAAGTTTAAAATTGAACTTTAGCTAGAATTTGTGGTGCTTTAGTCTGCATAGTAGCAATTACATGAGGATGCTAATTTTTCCCCTTTAATTCTCCAGTGATTGGAGTGATTCTCCAGTGATTGGAGTGATTCTCCAGTGATAGCTGTTACCTCAATGATCTGTTTGATATATGCATATTTTTCATTCACCTGATAGAAACTGAAAACTATCAAATGTACCAAAAATCTTTGGGATGTGACAGTCATAAAAAAATCTTTCCCAGTTTAAAATATAGTCAGATAAGGTATAAATAAACAAAATAACTACTAATGTCACTTAGTGTCAGAATTCTGCATAAGCTAAGATTATACTATGAGAGTAGTGTTTTTCAAACTGTGGATCCATGGTCCATTAATGGCACATGAAATCAATTAAATAGCTCACAACCAGTGTTTTTCTTTTCTGATGGACAAAATAGACTAGAAAATATTGGCGTGCACTGCATGCAGTAAGAAGTATTTGTGGAATTTTTTAATACATGTGTGTATGTGTCTTTGTACTGAATTGGGTGGAAAATATATTTCTTACTGTGGATTACAGTTGGAAGTGTTGGAAATTCACTGTTGGTTGTTTTGATAAATGAGTGAAGGACATGATAAAAATTTTAACATCTCAATCTGTTTATAGAATGCATTCATTAGGTTTATATTGATATCTCAACTAACCACATCTATGTATTTTGTGTTTGTGTGTATATGAAGATATATATTTGTGTTTTATTTTCCTTTTCTATTATTAATAGGTGCAATGGATGAGCTTCATAGTCTGGATCCAAGAAGGCAAGAATTATTGGAAGCTAGGTTTACAGGAGTTGCAAGTGGGAGCACTGGAAGCACTGGCAGTTGCAGTGTTGGAGCAAAAGTGAGTAAAATTATAATCTTTATTTGACATTCTTTCATTGTATTAAATGATCTGGAACATACTTTGTAAAAGAATCCTACATATGTGTTTAATATCAAATTACCACTTACTGTAATTTTTGTAATGTATAGGGAAAAATTCAGTATTTACAAACCTGATTTTTAATACAGCATAACATACTTCAGGGGCATGATGTTCTAATACAGCATAATCGGTTTCAGGAGTAAGAATTAATTGAGTAGATTGAACTGCTCTTCTCCCATTATATAATTTTTTCTCTTCCTTGCCTTTGTCACCCTTGTTCCTATCTGTTTATGTTCCTATTTGTACAACTGCTGCATATCTCTTAGGCTTTCCAGTGATAGACCTCAGGTTGTCTTCAGCTCCCCATTACCTCACACTGTAGTGGATTTCATGTACTTTTTCTCTTATGGACCTCTGTGAGCATTTGTTTAGGTTACATTCTTAGGTGCAGAATTGCTGGGTTATAGGGTATATATAGAGTTAAATTGAATGAATAGTATAAGATTGCTATTCAGAACAGTTGTACAGGACTAACCCATACTTTTAACAGAATGCATGATCATTTATGTATCCCTACATCCCAGAAACACTTGGCATCATCTGGATTTCTCATTAACGTGTAAAATAGTATCCCTCTTTTTTTTTTTTTCCTTGTACCACCAATTATTTTGAGCATTTCTTCATGTGCTTGTTAGCTTTTTGGGAGTCTCTTATAAATTGTTACAATGCTTTTCCTATTTTTCTATCAGGATTACTTTCTTTTTCAAACTGATTTTCCCATATTCCATGTATATTTACATATCAATTCCATGTTGGCTGTATACAGTGCAAATAACTTTTCCCATTTTGTCATGTCTATCACCTTTGTTCATGATATCCATTATCGTATAGGATTATTGTAGAGGACTCTTTAATTTTGTTGTAATCAAAGTCACCAATTTTTTTTAACTTATAGTCTGTAACTCTGAAATTTTGGATAGCTCTTGGTATACTTAGAAAAACAGCCGTCACTATGAACCATCTGGGTCAAATAGATCCTTTTCCTTTTTCTTTTGAGGATTTATTTATGTGGGGCGCCTGGGTGGCTCAGTCGGTTAAGCGGCTGCTGTCGGCTCAGGTCATGATCCCAGAATCCTGGGATCGAGCCCCGCACCGGGCTCCCTGCTCGGTGGGAAGTCTGCTTCTCCCTCTCCCACTCCCCCGCTTGTGTTCCTGCTCTCGCTATCTCTCTCTCTGTCAAATAAATAAATAAAATCTTTAAAAAAAAATTATGAGAGAGAGAGAGAGCACCAGAGAGCAAGCAGTGGGTGGGGCACAGGGAGAGAGAAACCCAAGCGGGCTCTGTGCTGAGCATGGAGCTTGATCTCACCACCCTGAGATCATGACCTGAGCCAAAGTCAAGAGTCCATACTTAACTGATTGAGCCACCCAGGCACCCCTACTCTAGTCTTTTATACATTCTTGAAGGATGATGCAGTACTTTGGGCAAGACAAGAAGATAACTTGAGAGATAATCACTTATTTCACTATTGCATCACTCTTTTAGGTCATTAAATCTGCATTATTTTTCTCTTTCTACCATAAAAAACTACTGCAGAGTTGCTTAAAACAAGACATTTATTTTCTTATAGTTCTGAGGGTCAGAAGTCTGACATTGGTCTCATTGGGCTAAAATCAATGTGTGTACAGAACTTGATTTCTTTCTTGGAGGCTCCAGTGGTGGGAAGTGGGGGGCACCTTTTCCTTGCCTTTTTCTAGCTTCTAGAGGCTGACCGCATTTCTTGGCTGGTAGTCTCTTTCCTCCATCTTCAAAGCCAGCAATGATGCAACTCTCTTACTGTTCTTTGGAAGTCACATCTCCCTCTGACCACAATCTAGAAAGGTTCATCACTTGTAAGTACTTGCGATTAGATTGGCTCATGCCCATCTGGATAATTTGGTATAATTCCCCCAGTTCAAAGTCCTTACCCCCTTACATGTGCAAAGTCCTGTAACATTCACAGGTTCTGGGGATTAGGATGTGAGTGTCACTGGAGGACATTATTCTGCCTGTCATATCCTCATTCTTCTATTTTTTTTTTTAGTGGTTTTTGTTTGTTTTAGCATAGTTGGGAATAATTGATGAACGATGATGAGTAATGAAGTAATTCCTAGGATGATGTAATAACAAAATATAGGAAAAATAAGATCAGTAAAATCCCATAATGTAATTTAAATTTGTGAAAGGGTCTTTTGGATGTCTGGTGATTAATTATAAGATAGAATGCATTTTATTCCATTAAAAATAAATCTTATTTTTATTCTTTGGATGTTCTCTAAGAAAGAATAAAAGTCCCCAAATACTAATCTTTTAGAGAGAGAGCATGAATGGGGGGTGGGGGTGTTGAGAAGGAGAATCTTAAGCAGCCTCCACGCCAAGCATGAGCCTGACTTGGGGCTTGATCTCACGACCCTGAGATCATGACTTGAGCTGAAATCAAGAGTCGGAACCTAACCGACTGAGCTACCCAGGTGCCACCCCCCCCCACCTTGTGACAAATACCAATCTTTACAAATAGGTAGAACTACTTGGAAAAGAAGCTCAAACATTAAAATTGGGTTCAGTGGACCCTGAGGTATTCTGAGAATTAAATACTTGTTCCTCACCCCTGGGCCACAAAGATATTCTGCAGATTTTTCTGTTAATTTTATAGTTTTACTATCATATTTGCCCTTTAGGCCCCACCTTTTATATAGTATTGATAGGGATCCAGTTTTACTTTTCTCCATCTGAACCAGTTTTCTCCACAGTGCTGCTTTTTTTAAAACATTTTTTAAAAGATTTATTTATTTATTTTAGAGAGAGGGGTGGGGGCAGGGGGAGAGAGAGAATCTCAAGCAGATTCCCTGAGTGTGGAGCCTGCCACAGGCTTGATTACAAGACCCTGAGATCATGATCTGAGCTGAAATCAAGAGTTGGACACTTAACTGACTGAGCCACCCAGGCGCCCCTCTCCACAGTGCTTTTTAAATCATCCATATTTTTCCACTGATCGGTGATGCTACCTTTATCATATATTAATTTGCCATGTATATATATGGATCTGTCTGAAATTTCTCTTACGTTTCACTGGTCTGTATTCTTGTCCCAGTATCACATTTTAAAAAAATACTGTTGTATTTTTGATATATCTTTTTTATATGGTAGAGCAAGTCTCTTCTTTAATCTTCTTTTATAAAGTTGACTCAGTAAAGCTGACTTAGTTTTTTTATGGTTCTTTATTCCCTCATTTAAAATTTGAGTATCCCTTCATTTGCTTGTTAGCATTTGGAGATTCTTCTGTAATAGCTTATTTGTGTCTTTTTCCTTAAAAGATTATCAAATAGAATTCTTATTTTGAATGCATTGCATTTATAGATTAATTGAGGAGTAGTTAAAATCTTTATAAGATTAGGTTGTCCCATCCAAATACATGAAACGTGTCTCCATTTATTCAGTTCTCCCTATAGAGATCTTAAGAATTTTTGGCTAGTTTTTATTAATTCTTTTGGCTAATTTCTGAATACTTTAGTTTTTGTGGCTAAAGTATTTTTTTTTATTTTCTAGTTGGTTATTGTGGACCTAGGAGGTGTTTGATTTTTATCGTTTGGTCTTACATGCAGCGGTCTTGCTGTTGGTCCTTTTTTTTTTTTTTTTGGTTGTAACAGTTCGTTGATTCTTTAGGCTTCTCTAACCAATAATTATCTTCCAAAAATGACCGTTTTATTTCTTACACCTCACATATATATATTTTTTTATATTGGTCATGATCTTCAGAAATGGAAATATTCTGTTTTGAGCGATAATTTACACCACATAAACAATTGTCAAATCTAAAAGGAAGGAGAAGCTTAATTTGTAATTTTCAGAATATTGGATACAACTCAACTGTTCCTCATCTAAGAGAAATGTATTGAAAAGAAGTGTGGTATATATATTTATACAATGAAATACTATTTAGCAATAAAAAGTAAGAGACTATTGATAATATGTAACAACATGGATGCATCTCAGATGAATGGATTATGCTAAAAGAAGTCAGACCCAAAAAACTACACACTACAATACTTACTCCACTTTTTTTTTTTTTTATGTAAGCTCTATACCCAGTGTGGAGCTCAAACTCCACAACTCTGAGATCAGCAGTTACTTGTTCCATTGACTGAGCCAGGAGGGCACCCCACCTTTATTTCCTTTTTAAGACAAGGGTTATTAATTGGGATATTTTGAGCTATTATTTTGTTATGGATTTCTAACTTATTGCATTACATTTTGAAAATATAGTTTGTATGACATTAATTCCTGAAATGTGCCCTGTTTTATAAACATATCATATCTAATAGCTCTTAATTTTATTTGTTCAGATCTTAAATATTTCCTTGTATTGTCAGCTTGACCTTTTTCTGAGTGGCGTATTAAAATCTTCAGCTATATAGGCAATAATATGAAACACCAGTGGTATTATAACAGCATTGTATGATGACAGATGGCAGCTACACTTATGACCATAGCATAACGTATAGAGTTGTCCAGTCACTATGTTGTACACCTGAAACTGATGTAACATTGCGTGTCAGCTGTGCTTCAGTTCATTTAAGAAATCATTGGCTGTGATTATTGATTTATGTATTTCAGCTTGTAGTTATCAATATTTGCTTGATACATTTTGAGGCCATATTTTTACATACATACATCTTATTTTGTTCTTTTTATAACCATGTAATTATTTTTTCATTTAATACTTGTTTTTTTCAAATCTTAAGATTAGTATCATTGGCTTTCTTTTCATTCCTATTTGTCTTAAATATATGGGTATATGTTTTTCTATTATTTTTACTCATTTTGTTTTAATTGTATTTCTTGTAGGCCACATGTCTTTTTTGACAGAATATTAGTGTTTTTATCTCTTAAAAGGTGGGTCTAGTCCATTACATTTTTTGTAATTATTGTTATTTTC